GTCACTAGTTTGTCGCTCGCCCCCCCCCCCGTCCGTCAACACTAGATCCCCACAAGCTAGAAGAAAGTGTTCTGTCTTCAGAATTTTTCATCTCTAAGGGGTATTCCGTCCCTCTACTCCGGTATTCTTTTCTGTTACTAAAAGTTCACTGACTTTCACGCTGAAGAAGCTTTACTATTAATATTCCTGTCAATGGCACCAATAATTTACCACAACCCATCCAGTGATATTGGTGAAATTCATGACTGCCTGGAATAATGTTAAATGTAGAAGCAAATGGTGAACTGGTTTCAAATGGCCGGCCTAAGTTGACCTGATCAAGTCAGGGTGGTTCTCGAAGTCCAACTGATAAAAAAGCCTAGCATCACGACTTTGGGTAGTTGCATAAAAAGGAATTCAAATTCATTCTAAACACCGTTTTCTTGCCATGTGATAGCAGCAGGATTGGTAATCACTGATTTGTCGCTGTTCCCCTTTTTTATCTTCAAACATTGTTTTATACAACTTGGATAGAATTTGGTATCAAGCACGCAATTGACTCTGATTAGGTGTGTCTTCGGTCATTTCGGATGTCACTTCCTAGAAAATGGCTTGCACAGGCTCGAAAACTTTTCATAATCCCCCCGCGGCCCTTCTGTCAGGATTGTCCTTTTGCGCCATTCCGAATTAAAGGCGGAGAACCGAACCCTTCACCGGTGCGGGATACGCGGCAAATGTGCTGGATTTTAATTGGTTCAGGTATCTAGAAAAGGGATCCGAAGAAATAATCGAAGATGGTAGGCGAACTTTGTAGTTTGACGAAGAGTTATTCAGTCCGAAACATCCTTATTGGTTTCTTCGGTTCCTTCTTTTCATTTTCTTCTTGTTGTTACCCACATTTCTGTGATCAAATGCCACGAAAAATCGAATTTGTTTAACAGGAAGTGCTTGCCAATCGCTGGTTTGGACGGGTTTGGAGGTAACAACGATGCCTTGTAAGCAAGCTGCCCACCGGTGTCGTTTTGCCTAGCAGTCAGAGAAGTTTCCACTTTCACCTACACTATGGTGTGTTACTTCGCTACTTGCCTTTGACGTAAAATATGAGCCGGTCCTACTAAATGGTGTAGATCTTACGAAAGATATTTCAAGCGCCACCCGGCTTTCCTCCTAAGGTTTATCTGTAGCCTTATCAGAGATTAATGACACTTAATTGGCAGAAGGAGTTCTGTGGAGAGCGGCTGAACTGAACTGTTCTACTAGGATCGTGATGTGTTCATTGTTGAATTTGTGTTGAATTTTTGTTCGGTAGCTCATCACGTTTTGGGCGTTCTGGGCTGCACTTTCCACTGACTCAGCCCACCTTCCGCTGAAATATGCTGGAATATGACAGTGTTCGCATACGAATATCCACTTAAAATCAGGATGTGATCTAGTGATTGAATACAACAAAATTATCCCACTTGGACACGTCAGATGAGTTAATCGTTTTTAACTTTCCCAAGAAACCCTATGTATGTTGCAGAAGTAATTTCGTCTTGGTTTTATGCAGTAGATGTGGTTATTCCTTGATTCAGCTCCCGTGTCTGCTATACTAGACGTGAATAAAACCATCTAACCTACGGCCAGCACAACCATCTTGTGTTGAGTGCACATTGCCCCTTTCAACTGAATGATTTACTTTAGGTCCGTGAGATATAGTTGTATCGCAATTACGCTTCGTCACATCCATTTAAACCATGAAGATTAGTGCCAAAACTCTTTGTGTTCAGTTGCACTCCTCGGTGTGTGACGCATTATTTGGATTTTCCGCTTTGTTGTGAGCTGCTTCATTTTTTTCCATCTTCATGCTTACCCAGTGTCAAACGTTTTTGACACTGTTCTTTTTCACTGATGTGTTGGGGTCGTTGGTGGTAACAACTGTAATGGTGGTGTGTTGAGGAATCCTTAAACATAGAGTGTGCAGGTTGGCATCCATCAATCAGATGCCAATCTGAATTTCGTTCTTCATGCTACACTTGTCATTCTGGGACCGCTTTTAGCACTACCCGCTATGTGGCTGTCAGTCCATTTTAGCTTGTCATTCCTTAGTCCTGGATAGAACTCGTTTGAGCTCCAAGGTTCATATCCTGCGTAGTAGAATTGGCGGATGGGAGGTTGATGAGTCATTTTTTGCTCATTCTCGCCATCACAGTCATCGACAGCATAAAATCAGTGTTTGAACACTGATAGTCGCTAAAATACATATGCTTAGAGCTTCTTTTTATGTACATTGTATGATTATCTGGGATTTGGATTTACACGACTTTTGTTTCATCGACAATGGGACCGCTAATTTTGCATCATTTAAAGAACCCCGCTGAAGCACTTGGTGTGTTGTGTGGCATTCACCATTTGTTAGCATTTCAAAATTTACAGCATAACTGCGAGAGGATTTTTTGGCAAAGTTCTATACTTTTATATTTCGGAGTGCATATCTGCTTATGTGGTGTTATTGGGCTTACTTATTAGCTGTTCAGCTGTTCTTCACGTTCTTCATCGATGGTGTCTCGGTGAGTATTTTAGGCGATTTAGTATACTGGATCGGACTTCTAGAATCTTCATTGCCGGACCTATAATTTATGGACGACGTAGCTTCGCTTGTCCATAGAACCCATGTGCATCAAGCGCTTATGTGACGGAAGGTTTTCAGCTCCCTCAATACATGTTCCCTTACACTTATTGTGGAACTCGGTATTCCAATGTAGTTTTATGAGAACACTGTTAAGTTGCAATAAGTCTCTTGTGCCAGTCGACATCGGCCACGTATTGGTAGGGTATTCATTTGTCTTGTGCAGACTTGAGTATTTATGAGCCAACCCTCGTCCGACCCCACTACATGTGACATCCACTTTCGACGGCCTTCTGGCTCAGTCGCCATGAGGCGATGAGTGGTGTAATGCACTTTGCTGCTCCTATGGCGCCAAGAACTGGGTCATACCAGCGATCAGTGTCATTGTTTAGTCTGATCTCACTTTGTCGTTTGTAAGATTAGCATTACCTGCGGTTGTTCCGCACAATCAGTCTGTTCTTTGATCTTCCTTGAACCTATGTGGCATTCGATGCCGCCTGCTTTGAACTCCCATATCTAGTGATGAATTAATATGGTTTTCGCATTCATTCGCTAGACATCTGTGAGGTTCATCAATACCTGAAACGAATTATCAGGCTAAAGTGGCGTCTAAGCCAATAAGAGGACTGTGTAGGGAAATGTGGAATGCATTCTAGGAGAGTTCCTGTAAAAATGATATATGTACACAAAAGCACAATAATATCGTGACATTTAAAAGACAGGAGAAGTGAGCAATCAAACTTAGGAAATAGACTCACTTAGAATGGGACAAGTAGACCATAACCGGCGTCTTGGATAAGTGAAGACTATGAAAAGTTTGGAGACATGATGGTCATGTTACGGGGTTGATCAGTTCCGGGAACAATGGGAGGAAAGTGTTGTTTGGGGAAACGGGGATTTTCACTTCCTAGAGGGTAACCGGTACTGAATAGGCAAATTACATCACTAAACGGGAGAGAAAGTAGGAGATCCGAGTTCATGGAAAGACTTGTCATGGTAATAGAGTTAGAATAGGGAGGAGAATACCACATCCTGGTGGCTAGACATGAGTTGAACGCCTCTTCATCGAAATTGGGAGCCAGTGGCGCCCAAGTTGGAGCGACTACGATACTTATGGATTAAGGGCAAATGGGAGGTGAGCAAAATATCTCAGGACGGAACGGAAGGTCGAGCTGTCACTAGTTTGATATGGGACGTCCAAGAATGATAAGAAGATAGTAAGATGAGATCGTTGGAAAGTGGCGAACCCAGAATGGAACAAGTTAGTCATTCCAGAATTGGGCCAAATTCAATGAACAGTGTGGGTGCATTTGGAGCGGTGAAGAGATGGGTGGGATTGATTGCAACTGTTTTTAGTCCCGCTGGTGAATGTTAAGATCGGTGTTCTGTAGGCTGGTAATATACTCATACTTGTCACTTATCTCGGATGCAGTCGATAGCTGGGTGTGGTAAAGGGTGAATTCATGGAGAGTGGCATCGCCTGTAAATGCATTTCTACAACCATGGACGAGTGAAAGCAGTTCATTCATGAATGGTGAAAGGAAGGTGGGAGATAGGACGATTCTCTGCGTAAATCCGACCTCCATACTGCACATGTGAGAAGCATCGCTTTCGAGGTGAATTTCTAGTTACCGATTCAATCCGGTTCAGATTTACAACCTTTCTCAGGAACGAGAGCGACAATAGGTATTTGACACTCCGGCGCTTCGTTCTCCATATGTCCTGCATGAGTTTGACAGACCGCAAACGGGCCCTTTTTCCCGTTCAGAAACGTGAAGATGGAGTGCTTTGTCCCTCTCAAAGGGTCTGTTTTCGTTCTTGTTATTGGAATCGAGCAGTTCACGTTCCACTGTGAAGCAGGTGGTTCATCGATCATCATGATGGGCACCTCGGGTCACCTAAATTGTTACTTAACGTGTTCCACTCATCAAAACAGGGGTTGGAATGGACTACAATGGCCCCTCTGACCGGTGATTTTCTTGGCTTGGTGTTACGGATAATTTGCAGAAGATTTAAACTATTTCCAATCACCGTCGCTTTTCCCATTTCTAATGGCTCACGTAGCCAACGCCTTCTCGGGTGAAACGTCTTTTCGGATATGTTGCTGAGTTGTACTTCCGGTCTAGTGCGATCGCCTTCCTCGCCTCGCCCGCGGACATGGATCGCTGTGAGGTCTGATTTGAATTGGGCAGTAGCTTTAAGACGTGTGACGTCGAAATCAGTATTCCGGATTTTGGACCATTCATGTGACAGACCGGTTTGTCTTGCATTCGTAAATTGTCTAGAAAGCTGCTTTTGGCAGACCACTTTGATGTCTACATCTTGTAGGCTGCAAATATCACAGCGGTGTTTTTTCTTGGTTTCTGGGAAGCAAGCTGCTACACGGATATGAACCAGGGTACGATCTGATTCCGTACACGTATTCAAAAGGGAACGGCAATTTCGAACATAAGATCGCCATATAAACTTAATTACTACATGGTCATTCTGAGTGACAGTTTGTCAGTTAACGTGATGCTCGACTTGCTGAATGTTGGTCCGTGCGGTTTGTGTGGGACGCAGTATGTAAGCCTACATAAGCTGAAAGAGAGAGGAAGGCTTTCTGTGGTCTGCAGGCGTAAGGAAAAACTGCAGCATTTGGTCATAAAGAACATTATTAATAGTATTGCCAGAGGAAGTTGAAACACGTTTCAGAATACGAGCATGAGAATCAAATAATTAGGGTTAGCCGGTGGAACGTAAACCTGAAAAGACGAGACAAGGCTGGGCGTAGTTTCTAGTGTTTGGAACGCTCACTTCAGATACCATTGTATTAGACAACGTTCTCTGCAACCTTCCCCCCATATATCATAATTCTCACCTTTCTACGCACTTGTAACATGATGTATTCAGTCACATTCATCCATTGCGTTTTTTCCCAAACACTATTGTAAAACGTTGATATGGTGTTTGATGGTCTGGTGGTGGTCGAACGACTGCCTACTTATGCTAACTGTTCAGTCATATTACTTAACTCTTACTGCCACTGTTTATAATCCAACACATTTTTACTAGCTCCATTTACGTCGTTTTCTCAGCCTGGATTGTATGAGGAAGCAATGACCGAAGCTCTCAGTCGATGCCTTGAGTACGTGAAACCGCAGAGTTCTGTGGAGAAACCGGTAAGTCTAGATTCATTCGTTTATGCACTAACCCATAGTTTGCGAGTAGATTAGTCCTGGTCGCACTCTTCACCATCTAATTAGAGTTCCGAATCCAGATTTTATTCTGTAATTACGGTCCAGGAACGTTGCGTACCTGTTTCAACCTTATGGAGAGTCATTAGCTGTACACATCTCGAATCTCCGGGGTAGTGGTGTGCTTAGCTTACTCATTGAGTGTAGCCCCACGACCTTCGATAGTTCAATCTACGTCATGTGCTCTGGTGTCGACTGTCAACTCGTCAGCAAACGTCCTGTGTGATCTTTGGGATTCTTCTCCCTGAATAAGCTTGCTGGTGCTTTGTAGATAGTGCGTAGATTTGAGTTTAAATGTTTAGCATTACCAAGGAAGTCCGTAACTGTTTGACCACTATCGATCAATGAATTGATGAGTGCCACCTCGACTAGGTAAATATGAACACACAAATACTTGAGGAATACGATGTAGTTGCACGTGGCTTTGGTTACCCAAGGCTAGCGATTTCAATACTGAAGTTAAATTCTTATCAGAACTTCCAGAAGCGTTTTGCAGTGCCTTCATCAATGACGTTTTGATTACCGTGCGACGGCAAACGCGGTTTCGGATCCGTAGACTTTTGCAACTCCGTTCACTTAAATTGTTAACACTATCGATGTCTTCCTCATTGAATATGCGTTAGCCAATCCAATAACTTCGCTTAAGGGAACCGGAGCCAGTCCTTACTGATCGGAGAAGTGTAAGCCTTTTACATTGTTGAGATGTCCCAGCTACATCTTGCTGCTTACGGGTTAGAATGATTGACGATAATAATTGTAGCATCTGACTGTACTCAGCAGAATCTTGGGCATGGATTAACGTTTTTATTTTCTTTGTGCCAGTTGGGATGACATCTAATAATCTAAAAAAATCTCTCAGCTGTAACACTTTTTCGGTGCCTAGCTGCAATGCTACCCGAAAGAAGCACGAGGGCTGGGATACTGCCAGTTTGCTCAAGCCTAGACACGGGGGATCGAGAGGCAGAGGTCGAGTTCAAACCACGGACCTTCCGGTCAGTAAATTCGTGCTCTAGCCACTTGAGCCATCTCGCCTACTTCTAATAATCTGAGTGCATTTCAGAATTAAGCGGATAGTTCTTGATATCAACGCACTACCTAATATATTCAGAAAACTTGGAATGCTATGACACAAGGCTATGGTACAAAAAATGTACCGTCTACTTGGCCTGAATAGCTCCCAGTTTGATACTGTTTGTCTTGAACGGATTCGATCTCCACGAGTCAGGAATATGTCTTTATACTATCATGGATGAATAAGGGAGAATACTTGTGGATAAACTAAACGCGTGGGAGTGTAGCGAGCATAAGAATTCTACCAGCCGAAGTCAAGGTGTCACCTGCCCACAGACCGGGCACATTAGCAATACTTATGGATAATCGATACTCTGATACGTGGATGTGGTACTAGAAGGGTCATTGTCGTCATTCATTCCCAGGTGGATGGGATATTTCAACAAGGCAAAGTAATGGCTCACAATCCCCTGATTTGTATTCCGTCACTTGAATTTGCTGGACAGGCTAACTCACGACCATTGTCGCAACCCGATGGAAAGTGCATTGGTCGTATTGACGCACCGGTGTGCGAAACCTGTGGACTGAAAAATAGGGATGAATAGACGTGGATCAAAAGTATAACTCAACAGCAGCATCGGGTGGAGTTGTCGGAGGTTTTGAGATGAACGAACCTGAAGTTATCTTTACCTGGGTGCAGTCACCCTTGCTTTCCACTTTTCTGATGTCAAATAATTTGCATCACGACTTTCTGCTACCATTATTAACATATTCATTGGCCCCTTTAATCAGGCCGTCCTAGGAGAGCCTGAAATTTAGAGGTATTAGCTTGATTGCTTTCATTTAATCCAATTTCCTGATCATTTCACAGAATAGAGTGAAACGATAGGTCGCTCCAATTTACCATTGTCATGGGTGCGGGTATGGTTACTGACTGCGTGTGGTAGCTTCTAACCAAAGAGACGCGCCACCGATTTCGCTATATCTACCAGGTAAATTCCAACCAGGACGAAACGTCAGGTCGATTGCTTTTCTAGGCCAGCTACATTCTATTTTTGCAATGATCCAAAAAATTTTCTTTTGTCCAGTGGTGCTCACCACCTTCATTACAGAAATGGTCTCATTCCGTTCATCGGTAGTTGTCGTAGTAGGTTTGCCTCGAAACCATGGATGATCCTATCCTTCTGTTATGGTGTGTGGGATTACAGTGTATACTGTCATACGCTTGGAAAATCACTGTTGCAGATGGAGGGGTTTAATAACCTCATTGCCTGGCAGTGAATGACACGAAAAGTCTATCCTGTTTGGTGAGAAAAATGATATTTTTGGTGGTAGCATGATACACTGATCACTTTTGGAAGTTAACTGCACGTGAGAGGTTGCACTGGTAGTAGCGTGGTAGTGTGATGTTGTAAACAATAACGGACCTAAATGAACGCGAATTCCCTCTTTTCCAATTTTGTGGTGGGTTGAAATGGTCTATTGGGAGTCAGTTTTGGACTTTGGAGAAACGTGAAAGACAACCAATGGTTGCTAGCTGGTACCTTCCTCGAAGGGGTTTCCAATCTGTTCCATCGAATGATATGTCTGCATTTGGATTCGCTCAACATAACTGGGCTCAGACGCACCAACGATACTCCTGAAGAGATGAAAATTGACTTGTTTATCCCCTTGAAAACAAGTTTGGGGTGTGACACTTGAAACTATCACGAGCTCACTTATCGATACCGCCGTAGTCGAATTTCAAGGATTCGAAAATATCGCTCATTCTTAGGGAAGTAGCTGAGATGGTCATTTTGATCACGTATGCACAATGTCCGCCTGTCTCCTCAGGCCACTTTTTGCAATCAAGGATTTGCGTCCGGTCGGATGGACTATAACATCTCAGTAGTCGAGATTTTCTTGTTTTCTAGCACTCGCAGTAAATGGGGAATAATCTGTTTTTTTTTTGGCTCATTTGCCCAAATCCGACATGGTATGCATTCATCACACTGCCTAAGCCCATATTGCTTTCCCTTTCACTGATTTACGTACAGCTTTTTGACTCCGCTGAATTTCTCGAGCGGTTTCCAGATTGGTGCGGTGATGCTATGGTGGCTTTTCTCTCGACCCTACGACGTCTGGCCGATCAAATTGAGTTAGTCCGTCCTCTCTTTCGTCCGTTTGTGCTACAATATTTGTCAAGTGGTTTTCCTATTTTCTCCTGTTATGACAATTGGCGCTTGGGCTGAACATTGGTATACTTTTATGCTTGCAACTCAGCCTAAAATACCGATGATTGATGTATAGTTGCGCTACCTTATCATTCGAGCAACGCTCTCCGAGCTATGTTTTTGCTGTGACATCAATTATTCCAATTCAAGCCTGTTATATGTACCGTTGTCCAAGGAATCTGAAAGATGAATGCTATTGATAACCGCACACTTGGTTGAGTGTTGTCGGCACGTGGTTTCTATGTATCCGCTCTACCAGACTATTATTCCCATCTGGTGACTGGCAAACGACCACTGAAAATGATCGTACGGTAATCTTTCTACTCTGTTGGCGAACTACCGGGCACTCAGCTGGTTGGCGTAAAGTGACCGCTCTTGACCGAGTTTTTACCCTATCTGTCCACCCACGATGGTGATTCTCCAAAAGCCAGCTCGTCTTTCGGTGTAACACCTCCCCCAACTTATCTCTTATTCGAATGCCCGTTGACAGGTAGACAGCTAACCGCTGCTCGTCGGCGACATATCTTACACATCCTCATTAGGTATTCTGCGTTTGTTCCCTCCCCCCTTGGAATAGAAATCACTATGTACTCTAAATACGCAATGCATTGTTTTTCGACGCTGCTGAGTTGAGCAAACCAATTAGGGAATGGAGTGCTCTACTAAATCACAACCAGCAGGACTACTGTAGTTCCAGTGGGTGTTACTTGTTTTGGTACGCTTGTCTGACCACTAGTAAATTATCATACCTATTCCCAATTTTTACGGATCCCCAAAGCAATCACTGAGCTTTTCGAATTGAGTTTTCAAATTAATAATTCAAGTCAGAAGTTGCTAGTTCTGCCAAACTACCGGTCAGACTCCAAACAATTTGAGATTTACGTGCTAAGCCAATCCAAAATTCAGTTAAGTTCGTCTACTCTGTGCTCACGTGTTGAGTCGACGATCGTTTAGTGTTGGAAACTACCTGAACATCGGACGGTCGAATCTTGAATCCGCCTGTTTTATCCGAATCTAGACGGAACGCCTAGTGGATTGCTTTTGCAGGTCCTGTACTTCTGTTTCATGGCTGTTGTAGTTCTATTCCTAGTCACCCATGAGTGGTGTACGTATTAGTCATAGGGAAATGCCTGAACTTGGTACACTTCGTCCGCGATTGCGTCGGTACTTATTGCCGTTTACGTACAATACCCCATCGTTCGTTATCTCCTTAGTCTACTTGTTCTTTTCAACTTCACGCGTTAGATCGACAATTCCACAGCTTAAAGCGGAAGACGACCTGGACGCGTGGTGGAGTACAGATCTCATGGGTGCGCGGCAATCTAGTCAGTCGCCTATCTTTTCTCAGGTTAGTGATCCTTCTCTTCTGAATGGTTCATTTTCTCCATCTGCTATGGTGTACCCTAACATCACCGGATGGTTGCGAGGTCTTTTGGTTGAGTGACCTACTTGGTAAACAGTATCTCTGCTATTACTTCAGCCTGATATGATTTAAACAAAACGGTTTGCCCCAATCATTTACGTTGAGGTTGTGGTGCGTCGTCTCGCCGGTGTTTTAGGTTCCATGTAATCTGTTGGGTGAACTTCTCCTATGTTTGAGTTCATTTTATGCGCATAATTATTGAACTTTTGCGCTAGCCCACGCCACTGATTGTATTTACTACTTGGCCTGTCCTCTCATGAAATTACGGTCTCCATACCACATCATATTCACCGTTGGTTAGCCTACATTTGCGGTTGCACACAAAAAAGACATTCCAGTTATTTAAAACATCACCATTCGAGTGAAGAAGCCCTTTCAATCTCTCCTCAGATATTTCTATGGGGAACAATAGAACCCATAATGTGTCTCTTTGGGAATGAAAAAATATCTTTAAGTTTCAGGTGGAAAACTGACTGACAAGTATCTTAGGACTAATAAGTCTTCCAAAGGGAAGGTCATGATGGCTCTTGCCTCACACATTCCAGCTGATGACCCATTACGTGGGGCTAATCAAACTCCCCATCATCACAGTGAAGATAGTTTTCTAATGAAAGTAATATTACTCGTGACATTTCTCCGTTTCACCGTAGGGGAGCGTCCCAGTTCGCCATATCTGTTCGCTGTCCTTCCAGCAAATCTGTTCTGTGGCTTTCTTCCCAGTACAGTGAAATAAACACCGTGACAAACCTTAGTTTGTCTTTAGCGATGGGGGATCGAAAATGGAAATATCTGTTACTTGATGACGTGTTCCACCCCGATGCATTTCGATCGCGCCTTCCCAATTCATTACCCCATGACTTTCCTCCATTACATCAGCAGCTAATATGAAACTTCTTTCGCAGCAGGAATCTAGTCCAGTTGGATGACCTGGCAGCCGTGTTGAGACGTTATCGTTTGGCGCTGCTTTTTCCTCGCATTTGTACTCTCATTCTAACTAATCCTGACGCGGTGTACTGATCAGGGGGTAGATTTTCAATCCTACCTTTATTTGAAGCAACCGACTGAAAGTGTCTGCATCACGCGGGACCTGCCGTTCATTAGCCATTGAACGTCAAACCGTTCATACTGTTCGGAGTGCTCCTAGATTTTATGTCACTGAACTTGCTACTGGAGATTTCATGTTAGAAATGCTACGGCATGTTCATTTTGGATTTTATCTCACCCGTCTCAATGTAGCGTGTTTTACGTTATCTCTTATTATTTAGCATAGGCGAATACCTAACCGTGTGATTGTGTGTTTGTGAAATGAGTGGCTTTGTACTTCGGATTTTCGTCCCGCAGTCCACCTCACTATCTTCTTCTTTTTCTCTCCTTTCCTTCAGGTGCGTGGTCTCCTATACGTGCTTAACAACGCCCGTTGGGTTCGCCGTTATGCCAATCAGCGACTCTTGACCTCTTACAAGACTGCTGGTTATGTTTCACATCAACGCCTTGAGGGCCAATTGAATGAAGCGTGGCTCAAAGGTATCGATGAACTGGTGACTCGATATGTTGCCTTGCGTAGTTCTTGGCTGTGCGCACCGATCAAGCCGTTTTTCACGGAGCTTATGGCACGAAGCGCTTCATGTACACGAGATAACTTTCCAGTTACAGGTACTTTTTGTGGCTGTTTTTCCTGATTATTTGGTTTCTCTAGGGTTTTGCTGCTGTGTATGACGAAAGAAAGCGTTATGAACGTTCTGACTGGTAATCCTAGAAAATAACGTCGGAACTTATCACGTATTGAGAATGCTGATCTGAAACTCGGGAATCGAAGCTGCTTGTACCATTCATTGTGGGCAGATATCATTCGGAAGTTTCCATCCAGAAACTAATTGGCTGGCTGTTTTCGGTTATCAAGTCTCTCTCGTTGCCTCTCTGTCGTTACTGATGTTGAAACGATGGCCTTGTTGGTATCTCATTGACGTAGAATCAACTGGAAAGACCAGGAAAACAATTAACTGCAGCAATAGAACACCAAGGATGCCGCTGGTGTCCGGGAATACCCCGCAATAAAGTCTTCGAAGGCTTCAATAAACAAAACTATCGAGGACCGCAGTGGTCAACTGATTTTTACCAAGTGAGGAAATGAGTTCCCTAATTGAAGGATAGATGTCTCCATTATCCTGTCTAATTGCGGATTAATCGTGCTGCTGGTCAGCTGCTCGTGGCCCTTCACCTTCTATTCGGGCGGTTGAATCTCCCTGGAGGTTTGTGAATTGTGCACTGCCGATCTTTGCAACAAGATCCAATTGGCTGTACAGTACTTGTCAGCTTTTCGGTATAGATTAACTTCACTTGTACGACGAAATCCTGGTTGAAACCCACAGAGAAATCAGGAGACAGTTCGGACACCTTTACAGCGCGTAACTACCGTGCCACTCAAAGAAAGTATGTAGATTGAGACACTGTCCGGTTGACCAAACCATAACATGAGCATTCAGGAAGTCATGTTCGGATTCTGACCACACAACTTCCAGTCAGTAACTGGTGTGCTCCCACTAGCCCCTTCTTAGAACTCTTTTGAAGATCTTAGTCGTACGAGATGTGTGAGTAATTGCCCAAACTTCGTGATGGTATGTTGCTCTTTGTAAACATACATAAAAATCGCACTAATGAGTACTGGCATTTGGGTGCATATTTTGTGCGTTACTGTATGTATCTGGCGTCCTCACTGGCACGTTTTTCATCCACAAGATGCAGCTGGGCGACGAACACCCCATCTCCCACCTCGTCTGATTTTCCCACACATGTTGACGATCCACACCTGTTTATATTGCCGTGTTTCAAGCTTTGGGCGCTTTCTGTACGGTGTTGTGTGTGAAAACCGCTACCACTTGTCAGGCTCCGGAGACCGAGCCTTTGGCGACTTCGTCGAACTTCTACTCTCTTTTCCACACGGCTGTGAACACATTGTTTGGGACGCTGTGAATCTGATGACATAACGGACAATTGCCAGTTGCGATCCCTAAGGGTTTTCACACAAACTAAGCCATTCCCAAGTGAAAATTCTTACCGAATGTTAGCCTCGGTGCCAGTTGCATCTGGATGTCTATGCTCCAGTCGGTGAGGTGATTTAGTATAGAGAAATAAAAAACCTCCATGTGACGGTTGCCGCACAATGTAACTGTTTCGCTCCACTGCAACCCCGAAGCTGATTCATACACAGTACCCTAGAATTTTGACTGCTAACCATGCTATGGTGGTTAACTCTTGCTAGGATGACCAGTTTGTGTGTGGAGACCGGGGAAGAGGACTCATCAGAAGCCTTTATCAAATAATTTCGTGAAGTAGACGGTTGCAGCACAACTGTTTAGTTCCCCCCAGCTATCGTCAGAAGTGATTTCTCTATGGGACGAAGGTTGAAAATGGCGCTCGTTACCCTGGTGACAAGCTTCCAAGTTACCCATACACTCGCTTCGTCTGTTCTTGTAACTCAATCGAACGACACTCGCCACCTAGTTATTTCAACAATAAGCTGTGCGTCGCATGCTTCGAGTATAAAATGAAACAGATTCACAGTCAATATAACGTTCGTATGTTCGATGTTCGAATGTTCGACGTTTGTATCAGAGCCGTTTCAGCTTCCATCCTTGGAATCCAACCTGGTAGAATGTTTCCAATAATATGGATCAGAGTGTTCACGTACTCCCTACGGACGTTATTCTCTTTATGGTTATCTGAAGCTCTTTAGTATGTCAATGCCTTTTTTCACATGCGCTGTTGCCCTCATGCTACTGCTGCATCCGCGGAATGATGTTCCCCAGGTGAATTTTTTCTTCAGGGGTTTTCACAAATATTCCGGAACTTCCGACACATCATGCTAACGGAAACGTTAGTATGCTGTTGCACTTGTTAGTTCTTCTTATTGGGGTTTGATAAAAAAAAATTTCGCTCTGACTAAAGTGATCGTTCTACATATTTAGTAAATTTGTATAAAAAATAGCTAGAAACGTGAGCAATCGATGGTGTTTGTAATTTGCATCGCAATACACCGTCCCCTCTCAGACAAACTTTTCCGGGAGACACGGAACTGTTTCTTCATGTGAGAGGTATCCAGCGTTTTGCACAGAGGTTATGAAATTTGACAGGGATTTGAGTGCTTTGAATAGCGTTTGTAAAGTGTGAAATGAAATTTTTGCTCCATCAGCAATGAATGCTCTAGATATTCAGCAAGCATTCGTGAGTGAAGCATATTGGCTCGATCTAGTGAAATTACGAGCTGGTAGCTGTTGAGTCATTCAAATAATCCACAATGAAAGCCACAAAGCAAAATGATTCACGACAGTGGTGTGTGGTGGTTTAGAATCCTAAAACGGTTACTTTATAATTTGTTACTTCATCTTCTTATCCAGCTCATTTCTCTGTATTGCATGTGCAAGGTGCTTTAATTTATGACTTTGTATACGCCTACAAGGTTGGGTTATCTTCTACACTAGGTCCGGCTCTTTCAAGATTTGACGCGATGGCGCGTCAGCAGAACCAATGGTATCAATCTTTTCCGTAACAGTTAACTAGCAACTCTGAAACAATGTCATAGTATGTGTCCGTTGTGGTGTTCCTTCTGGGGGGGGGGNGGTGGATCATCTGTTCGATGAACCAGAAAAATCTGCCGTGTTAACCCGGGGGATTACAACGTAAAAATTTTTGCATCCCGCAAAATCGTGGCTGTATGTTACTACAAAACGCTGGTAATTTTATGGGGCTAACACATTATTGTATTGCTTAACATTCTTTCATTCTATTTCTCTAATCTGACTGCCCTCGATCCGTATTGCTTGTGCACGGAGCATACTAAAACACTACTTCGAACTATTCATGAAACCGTTTAAAATAAGTCCACATGTTTCGCACTATTCCATGACACCGGTTGTTTTTTTGCCTCACACCAGACGGGTGCCTGTAGACAAACTGCAAGTGGCTATGTCGTTTTTATGTCTCCTCTTTTTTTCGCTGGCATAATGTGGTTGTTTTGGATCCGGAATTTGTCACCAGTTCAGTTCGACTTTTGCCAGTGCTGTAACTGGGACGTCACCGCGTCCCGAGCAATCCACCGTGGGTACGGGTGTTTTTTCAGAAGGCATGTTATCCGCCTTCTGGGAGTCAAAATGCTGGGGTATCTTCCTCATACACGGATATTTACCATTATAATGCTTACAAGAAACTAGCTGATTGCAAACCCGAATTTGTTTCGCATCGAATGTTGACTCACCTGGCGTTATACTGTCCCCACGACAACTTATTCCATCACGACCGTTTAACCCATTCAGTGGTCTATGTGCTCTTTGGTCATATTAAAGACAATACGTCCGTCTTGTTTGTAGTGATGGTCTAAGTCAGCAGACAATAGGTCTGATTTCCGCATCGTTTGTTGTTGATCTCACAAACGTTCCTGGAACTAGTTGTACTACTTATACCCGAACTCTCCACTCTACCAGGGATTGTTTGTATACTGCCTCATCCGTCCCCCCAAACTGTCTGACGGGGTGCATTTAATCATCCCCTTAGTGGATTCTTATTCCTACTGCAAACCTTCAAGCCTCTCGACCAACGATAGCAAAAAAAGTTGTCTAGCAACGTGTTAGTCTTTTAGTTGCTTGTTGTCGACTAAGGTGGATAGATTTTACATCTACTAGTTTCCTTTTTTGTTTCGAACCTTGTTTTGTGCCACTCAGTACTGACCGTTCGTTGTCATCTTCTCTTCCAGGTGTACACGTAACATTCCGTACGATCATTGGCAATTTGTCGCATGTTTATTCCGAACTCGTTTTGATCCTTGGTATCGAGGGTCTGGAGAGTAAGCACCGGGGCAGTTCGACTAAGAACGGGAACATTGGGTCTGGCGAAGAACTTGGTGTCCGTGAGATTCTCACACGCGTTGTCACGGTGCTGGTGACACGGATACATGCGTGCTTTGCGTACGTGGTAACTTTGCGCTTTACTCTCTCTTGTCACTCTGCCGTCCACTAATTCGACAGGGTTATCATGGGCTTGTTAATTGGCTGTTGAGTAGTCGTCAGTTAATTGCGGAAGCATTCGCGTACCCACTTTAAGATATGTCACTTATTCTAGAGTAACTGAGCGTTGCGTTGCACTGATTTTAATACTTTCAGGCTCCGAAAATGTCCATTTGGTCCGTAGTGCGCTTACTACTTCCTCGATTTTCTCGTCGTCTCGGCTGTGAGCAATGTTACTTGCTTACAAAAATAATGATCTTTGTAATATTTTGGAAAAGTCAGGGTTACTTATTGACTCTTATTTTCAACCATACACATTCGGACTCGAGGTTATCCTTTGGTTATTGGACTTTATCTTGGTTCACACCGTAATCTAGTAAATACAACCTTATATTGGGGAGTCCTTCCAAGCTGCCAAAAATGTAAGGTTGTTTCCTCAACCAAATGGGCGAGGATGATTTCCGCTAATATCAAATATACAAATTATGCGGGTGTTCCATTAGTTTATTCATCAACGATTGGGTGAGCTCTATTGTATATTGATTCAGACAAAGTTATACATCGGAAATGGAACTAGCAGCACAGAAAATTTGATAGAGCTTCTGAAATTTGATCATCATTGTTGTTTGTGGTCGATGGGAGCGTCGGATCAACACTACCTAATTAAGTTGCATGGTTCTCAAGATAAACAAGTTAGGTTACGAGAAATTATCAGCTCAAAAATTCTTCTGCCCAACAGTGAGCAGGCTGGAATCAGCTCAAAGGCAGTTTGTGATAATTCCCCGCCCTGAATGCAGGACCAAGGATCATTTTGCACGTATGCATGAATGTGCAAAATATTGATAAAGATGATCCCGACCCAAAGCGGTCACCTTGTCATGGTAGTCGGCCTTCTGTGCTGCACTGATCCTTTTAGCTATACTGGCTGGAACTCAGTTCCTAATTATTCAACCATGCCAGGACGGTCAAAGGTGAACGGCTTGTCGGAGAACAGCAAGTCCTGGTACTGCGAGTAATCGTATTACGAGGCGGTCTGGAGGTTAAGTCGTACTGTGCTCTGCAATAGGAGTGTGAAGGCAGTAAGGCTCTTCCCCCAAGCGACCAGCATGCCCATATTTATGGAATTCACGATGCTGTCTTCCCCCGAGGAAAGACACGTTAGAAAAGGTCTGCCCTAAAAACCACACACTCCGATTGCCCAACGGTTGATCGTGACCGCCGGCGCGTTATTCAAGACGGTAGAAATACTTTTAAAACCAAAGAGTCCGGTGTTCCCAATTTTCCATTAGTGGGACACTAGCGTCTGGAATCAAATCATTTTTGGTGGATGTTCCATGGTTGAAAAATTGAGTTGAACTAACTAACTATATACTACCCTTGTTACATAAATCTATTTATGTTTACTGTGGATTCTGTCTCAGCTAAATTGATAGGGAAAAATCGGTGCTTTCAACGTTGTTGTTACATTGACGTTCTTTTCTCCCGTATTTCCAAGGTATATTGTAGTGAAAACATGTCCATGGTATCAGAGACCCGAGCGAACATATTGGGGTAGCCTTCCCCAGTTTCACCGAACGTACACCCAAAAACAATCCTAGTACTTGTTACATAGCCACCCGGTATGTTGCGACCACATGGCCGTATCACGCCTTCAAGAGACATACTATTCTGTCGTCACTCCCATCAAAATTCTACCGAGCTTGCCCGTTTTTCGATGACGTATTAGAGAGCTATAACTATCTTTTATGTAGATAACTCGGGTAGGCGTTCATTTATTCAGTTGCGCACCTCTGGCCAATCTAACCCACTAAACAAAAGATAGTTCTATTATTTGTTCTCTCTCTCTCTCTGTTAATGTTAATCTTTCTCTCTTTAGCGAAATCAAGCTTAGTTCTTTGTCCTACTCAGCCCGGCTACAGCTTGTTTTGGACTTCAAGGCTGTGTCCTCGCTCCTGCCTAATTCTATATTCACTTCCGAAACCAAGCAACGTCTGACGGACTTGTGTCGATTGGGTGCCAATATTGATTTGAAGATGGAGGAGAACGAGTAAGTTCAGTTTTCAACCAGGCCATTCACATCAGTGGCATCGGCATACCATATTTCACTGGTTTAGTTGCAGAACTTTGTGTTCAGGGAGCTGGAAGCTCTCGCTTGTGGCCAACGATGTGTTCTACATCACCTACTATTGATTCCTAAAGGCAATCAAGATGTCCGGACTTCACGCCATCTCAGATTACTGCCAGTGGATCCGAATCCCCGGTGCTTTTTTACCGCACCGCTGCTGTCTCCACCGTTTTTTGTCCAATACGTTCGGTGGTTTATACGACGGATGCCTATCCATATATCGCACTCATCACCACGGGCTCTACGTATGTCTGTTAACGATCGTTGATGTCACTGCTGTTGTTTGTGAGTGCCCTCAATAGAGGGAAGTTGGTCTTGCTCGGAATCGAACGTAGACGCTCAAAACCGATTTCAGGCTGCTACCGACTTGGTTCTGAGCCACCTGACCGAGATTACTCCACTCAACAATTGTCCAAGATATTCTGCGGAGGACGTGTCCAGGGTCAACCACTCTGCGTATGATTCCCTATTGGCCTGTCTATATGTATCTGGTCTCTGGTTTGTTCACTGAGCTGGACAGTGAAGCATCGGTGTTGAACACTGATGTCATGCTGTCGATGATGATGATGACTAAGCTGGACCATTTGCTGGCAAGCGTTTCATCGCCGATCACAGTAACATCAAGGCGTTGTTAGAAATCGGAGTTGAGCGCAGCGGTCCGTCACTGGTTGTGTTTACTTTGTATTTGACTTTAGTACGGTTCGAGCACACTATGGGTATGATTGCGTGATATGCCGTGCATTTGGAACTTTGACGTGTCGACGCCCTTGCCTGCTGATCACCTTTCATTCGTCACCCCTGTTCCTGTTCTGTATGCGTGCATTCGCTCGTGGCCGTTCAGTTGTTCCCCCTCACACTCTGACGCCTCCGAATCGCTACACTTTGTTATTACTGATCGTGTCTTCCTATAAACGCCGTACCTGAACTGATCTGTGTTAGAACGATCTATCAATAAACTTTGATTGACGTTTAGGCTAATGTTTCGGAAGCCACTGGACCGCATACAATAGATCGTAACATGTTCACTACTGATCTATTGTGCAACGCATCCCTAACGTTGTTGTTCAATTGGAGGAGAACGCTGACGCCAGCGCAACCACTTTCTGTCGCATTCATGGACTTTTTTTCCTCTTTTCCGTCGTTGAAGGACCTCTAGGAATGTCATCTTTAACGCGCCGCATTGAACGCTCTCAGTGTGAGCTTTAATGGAAGTTGAAAAGGCTCTTAATAGGTCGCAAGTTTGGACCGGAACTCAGCGTTTGGTCGGGGTTAAACGTGCAAGTTAGCACTTCTTTTCGTTCATTAAGAAATGGTCAGAGCTAATCATTCGGTTTCAGTGTGAGGCCAAAAGGTGGTGGCCAAAAGCCAGAAACAAACTAGTGCCTACTGAGGTTTACCGCCTACTTCGATCCATTATCTGCTTTCGCCCAGCGATTTAATGAGGCTTCAGTATGCGACTTTATGCTGGGGATACATTGTGGTCAAATATCCATTAATCCTGAAGAACGTACACCACTATTAACTAGGCATTTGGTCCGTTGGTGGATGGTCAATCTTCGCAGGTCCCAAGTGGCAAGCTGGAGAAAGTTGTTAGGGGATTTTTCAAAGGCTCTTTGGTGGTGAGTCATTCTCGAGGGGTTACTATATCTCGTTGATTGTTCATTCGAGCACATAATTTGAGCATATTCATCCTCTCTCTGCATTTGGACAAAGCATATCTGGGTTTTAAACTGCATGGCTACCTACCTTTTTAGGGAACTGTGAGCTTCACCGATCCATTCGAGCTGCTGTTTTAGGTAACGTGTTCAAGCATGGTATAGTAAAGATAAGATAAAGCGTTCAGCTGTATCTTGTGTGTTCCTGTGTTTAAGCGACTGGGTTTCCATCCCACTGTATTATACTATTTGAACAAAGCAGCGACCATGGCAAATTAGTGACATTTGCTTGTATGTGGTGCCAGCGGGATTGTTACATCCCTTCTGTCATCTTAGCTTATTCTTATTTGCCACGGTTATCACTAGTTTCTTTGAATTTGGTGACGCTTTGCTGAATTCCACGGTTATAGTTTTAAAATCTCCTGTCGCCGGAGATAGTTTGTCTATAGATGTTGCCGGTATTTCTTGATTCAGTTCATCTTTGGTTTCTTATCGTTGTTCAGATTCTTGGACAACACACTACAACAAGAAAAGTCCCGTATGCGTCTTCTGATTGACTCATTCCGAATTTTCGAACCGACTACTGGTTCTGTCATCGTGATTCGTGGCTGAATCGACTCACCGCATTACACACGCAACGCTTTTTTTCCCGTTCGCTGAGTATTGCCTCTCGCATATCGTTTTGCAGCTAACTCGATCTCGCCTCCCCCTTTGCGTACACTGTGATATACCCTTTACGGTGGTTAATTGATGATACTCATTTTTCTCACTTGATCCTGTTCTTAATCCTCCGTGCTATGAAATCATCTGCTCCTACTGATAGTTATTAGTCAGAGACTGTTTTCACTGTTGCATCTCCAAGCTATTTGCGTAGAATTATCATTCAACTTTTTTCTCAATTGTCAGCTTATCCGACTGTCCAGCAAACGAGCGTACATTCAAAGGTTTGTTACTTAGAGTTCTTGCGAAACACTATATGAATGGAAAACCTGTGACACGACGCGATGGACATGTAACTCGACTTGAATTTCACCAGAACTGTCACTTGGATGGATGGCTGCTGATTGTACCTATACTGGTACTGTGTTTTTTGCAGCGGCAACCGAGCCCGACCGGATCCATTGTTTATACTGTACGACGGAAAATCGGGGACCGCATCTACCTAATGAGTTTCATGGAGGGGTAAGCCCGTCGTGGACTGTTGAGTTTTCAGCAACCTTGCGGGTGGCGTATGACGTCCAGAAAACAAGACTATTCCAGCGGATTTACAGAATACTGGGAGCGCCTCATGGTTGTGCTCAATCACTAAACCGCGCGTTTCCACCAAAAAGTAGAATGGTGTCATTCCATATTGAAACACTGAACGCTTCCTGGTCAGCACAGTCAGCTTGACTATTCTCAAAGGGAGACTGAAACTTACCGTAGTGCGACGGTTTGTATACCTCCATGATACATTGATTTATACTGGAAGGTGTCCGCGCGACACTCGCAGAGTCTCAAACCAGGTCGGTCAGTGGTTAGAGGTCTGGCAAACAGTCTCTTGTTCCTCCAGGTTGGAGGTTGGGACATGTGTAGCAATGTCTTGCGTAAAAGTTGAAACGCATTTGGATTCCCTGCCAACACCGCTGCCTTGCGGTTAGGCTTTTAGGCCAAAGGCTTTGGTTGAGGACAAATTGGGATGACTCAGTGGTTAGAGTGCGAATTTACTGACCAGGAGGTCCGTGGTTCGAACCCGACCTTTGCCTCTTGACTTCCCCTGTCTAGGCTTGGGCAACTTGACAGTATCCCATCCCTCGTTCTTTCTTCTGATGGCATGGCAGCTGGGCATCGAAAGGGTGTCAGCTTAACGACTATCTATCTATCCATCTGGTCAAATTATGACGACGACACTAGGAAAAGTCTACCATGAACTTTGTGACAGTACCTTAACCATGATAGGTATGTCTTTCGGCCTGTGCATAGGTTGCAACTACTAAGGAGAAGGCGGTGAATCCCAATTACTTTCCTATAGGAACTCATTGACATAGACTATTCTGGACTATCGCAGGATTCTAACTCCTGCTATCAGATATGCAAGGCAGATGCATCAACGTCATTACATCCACACAGACCGAATGCTTATAAGTTGTCCCCTGCGGACAAGGAAGTTTGTACGTCAACACATCATCGTATGCTGTGACTGAATTCGCCATGGAGACCTCTGTCCCCTGGGCACACACGAAGCTGGTCAAGTGGTATTATGGACAGAAATGCTTTATTTCGGACACTTGTTATCGTTAATTGTTTTTTTTTTCGCACAGTCACTGCCACTGTGTTATTACTCTAATGGTCTCACAAGCCGATATCGATTACCGACATGACCATCTCATGAAACCTACTATTCACTTTTTTGCTATACCACAAACTGCAAATTTATACTTCTGCACGGCATACACCGCAGTATGTATCCACAAGTGTCAACAAAAGCGCCAATTGAACAGCGTTGCATGCATGCGCTTATATGCGTAGACAATGCATTTAATAGACCTACCACAAGTTTAGCTGGCCTGTTAGTCTGGCATCCTCAATGTGATTAGGCCAGTATGATACTTTTTACGTTATTTTTTTTTTTTTCCCACAGTCACTGCCACTGTGTTATTACTCCAATGGTCTCACAAGCCGATATCGATTACCGACATGACCATCTCATGAAACCTACTATTCACTTTTTTGCTATACCACAAACTGCAAATTTATACTTCTGCACGGCATACACCGCAGTATGTATCCACAAGTGTCAACAAAAGCGCCAATTGAACAGCGTTGCATGCATGCGCTTATATGCGTAGACAATGCATTTAATAGACCTACCACAAGTTTAGCTGGCCTGTTAGTCTGGCATCCTCAATGTGATTAGGCCAGTATGAACAATCGCTCACGGCGTGGATTCTGACATCAAAGGAATCGGCAACTTGAAAGTTAGTCGGTACTCTGGAGACACTGTTCTTTCAGTTGGCGCGGATGAGGACTTTGAAACTAACCAAGACAAATTACACGTCAGCATCATTTGGTTTAGCATTATTCAAACGATTCAAAATATCGAGGGTGTTTGTCGCAAACACTCAGAAAATGGTGTCATGGTAGTAGTTGTTTCAATCCGAACAGCTCAGGCTGAACTGTGGTCTATGTTGTAAGGTGTGAATTCCGTTGAACTCCGATAAAACCCAAGTTTGCCTGTATGCTTGCTCTATGAATGTGTTCTCAACTAGGGCTGACGGCATTCGAAATTCTTCGTGTGTATGTCCATATAGAAATATTGGACACGTGACCAACGTGTCATGCATACCTACTGCTGGGCTCCTCGACAGCATTCCGCAACGAGGCCGCTGTAAATGTTTCCCAAACGAATCTTTGTTAAGCCTCCCCTTACTAGTTGTGGGGAGGTGACCATCAATTTCGTATTCCTTGGTGTGCTGTAGTATTTTTGGAATGGCAGTCATCCCTTCTGGCAGAATGCTCCACTACAGAGTTTTTATCTCTCCTAGTGCCCTGGGTGGTTTATTTATGTTCCATACAATTTTTTCGGAAAAAAACGCCGGGGCTAAGGCTCTTGACCTTGTCGGTTACTATCATTCAAATAGGTTTACACTGTCTCAGACAGAACGTTTATTTTACCTTAGAATTACGTGCGGTATGGGCCGCTATCTTCGTTATTTATCCTCATTGTTTGGATTATTTGACCTGCTGGTCAATTTTATAGTATTCTGGGATGGGTTTACCACTTGCCTGAGGACTGATCTCAGTGAGCATTATGGTGATTCCTATGTGTGATGAAGATTTTTGAAGTCTTTCATAGTAAGACGGGCATAAGTTGGAGGGCATATTCTGGACAATTACTGTGCATAATATGGTCTTCAAACACCTAATATTTATGAACACATGGCGGCTGTACACCAGGAGTTCACCTTATCTGAGCAGGGTTCTCCGGACTAAATGTTTTATCGTTAGCTACGTTCATGCCGTCGCAAAGACGGCCTCAGTAAGCCTGTGAACTGTACGTGAACACTCCTACTCAATATCCACATGGTCATCTACCAGCTCGATCACCTGATAGGGATTTGACGAACAGCCTGTCTCTCACCTTGGTTATTCAATGGCTCAAGATGCACCACCGAGCAAAAAGATCTGTGGGGCAGGTGTTTTGGACTAGGACAAAATGCTCAGGCTAATGTGTACACAAACGATTTGGAGGACCTACTAAATTTGACTATTCTTTAAAGGGAATTTCGCAACAGCAGTTGATCTTCCAGTAAGGGTTATCATTCGTCCCAAGCTACAACAGAAGCTGTGGAAAAATACCCACCAGTCGTCGTCACTTGATGTTAACCTGCATTACTAAAATGGACATAGACGCAACTAAGCGGATGGCCGTTAGTAAATTGTCACTGAAGGATCAGTACTAGCCTTCAGGTGGGGTTAATTGGTCCAATTTATTGTGTGTTTAAACAAACTGAAGTTACTTTTGGGTAGAGATGGCGATGGAATTTCACAGTCGGTATGCGATGAATGTTCGACTTCAGATTTCAACTTTATGAATATTCAGTCTTGTAAATCTTTGAGGCGACCCGCTGCCGATAACGTCCGATCACTACCGCTGAACACCAACATTCATCTGGGAGCGGCTGACGAACGATGTCGCCGATATACGCTCAGGCAGGATGCGGTGCGCTTCACCCTTCATATCAGGTGGTGCGGTGCTCACTGGCTCCTCGAGTGACGACTTCTCAGTCAGATGACCGGCGTAATCCGAGTGATTTTGTTCGTCTTCTTGGCAAGTATTCTAGATGTGTTTCGACCCTCCAGTGCTAATTGGATGGTCATGGCTTATAATCTCTGCAGAACTTTGTGATTCGAATGCACTCAAACTGGTAGGGTGAGCCAGCCGCACAGAGTTACAATATGTATTTCCTTCACTAATATAATGAAATGTCATTTGAGATGCACGGAATGCCATGAGTGTTTTGTGCAACACTGTAAATCACAAATAAGACTATCGAAAATAGAGAGGAGGTGTACAAACGGGTTAGCATCGATGAGAAGCAATATACAGTGTTGACATGCTACGAAACCATTATCCCACTATGGGGATGATGATATCTTAGGGAAAATCAAACTAACTGTTTTTGAAGATAATGTCATATGAAATTCTCACCGTAGTCTGGTTTGAAACACTACCAGGTTAACTGCGGGATGAATGTCGAAACTTTATACATCATGCATTCTGCCTTTCTCTGCACAGTTAACATTTTTTTCCGTCCTAAAAGCCGCCTCTGACGGTCTTTTAATACGGCGTATCTATGCTATTCTTCGAACGACCCGAAGTAAGAGCCTAAATACGCGTTAAGCTGATGATCCTCAAGAACGTTTAATCTGCGACATGATACCTAAGACTTTGACCCCCCTGTCCAGACACCTAACTTTGATAGTAAACTGTATTTAGGTGGGACATTTCAGCATTCAATGAGCATGTGGTGCCCTTCAAACCGCATTTTCCACTTTTAAGCTTTTTACACATTTACACACTTAATTGTGGGCGGTTGCGGGATTTGTAGAATGCATGCTTAGACCACCCTCCTTGGGATAGTCGTCCTCCTGTCCTGGCACAATCATTCTCGTGAGTTCACACGAAAGGGGGGAACACGGCTCTCGAGTTTAGTTTTTACTAGAACTCATCAGCAATGCATATTTTTCGTGGCATGGGAAGAGTCTGTGCACTATTGGCGCAAAAACTTCAGGTTCTCTAGGAATGCGTCAAAACCAGTTGGATAGCCTTGAAGTTTTGAAAGAATCTTCGCAGTAGATTCAACAACGGTTGATGAGACGTTGTTTCCTTTTCCATAGCGCAAACGCAATTCCGATGACATTAGCTGAAATACGGGAATCTAGTGATAC